GGGGGGGGGGGGGTCAGAAGAAGAAAGAAGGGAGCAAAAACTTACCTGGAGGCTATTGGATCTCCAACCGGCGATTCCTCGACGGCGCTGGAGTTGGGAACAGAGATGTTGGGGGAAGCAGACTGTCTAGGAGAGAGAGAGAGAGAGAGAGGGAGAGTAGGTGCACACGAGGAGGGAGCGGGTCGGGGAAGGGCCCCCGGGTAGGATTTTTGGTCAGAAATTATCTGGGTCAGCCCAACTTTGTTATCTATAGCCTATATTTGCGTTGGAAAATATATATGTGTTTTGTATCTAACCGTTAGGGAATTCAAGTTAATTTACACGTATTTTGATTAATTCAATCTCTGGTTTGATTAAAAGCAAGTCAATCAGGCTGGATTAGGGTAGTCATGTTTATCCTTTATGACTTGGTTTCAAAGGATCACCAAATTTTGAATTTAAAATGTTTGAGTTTATCGTTTGTCTTTTTTATCACTTGAGCTACCCCTTTAATTTAATTATTCATAATATTTTTTTTTTGCATATTTTTATATCAATATTTCTTTTTTTATAGTAATGGTGCACACAAATGTCACGTACAAGTGTCCTTTAGTGACTCACTATGAAGAGTAGAGATGTTAATTGAATTAAACTTTGCAAATTTCTGGCAGAGCTCGACGAACTTTTTTTTTTCAAATGAGTCTGAAAAATAGTTTATGATCGACTTGTTTAGAGCTCTAGTCGAGCCCAAGCGTGTGTATCTCAACTATTTTACATATGAACGAGTCAAATTTTGTAAACTTGAACCAAATTTTTTAGACTCGTTTTTCTAAATAAACTTAAAAAATTGTGCAAACTCATGTTTGATCAGATTTGAGTTAAATTCATTCGGGTTTAAGTCATTTATTTGATGACTTGGGTTAAGATGACTTTAAAGTTATATTCATCAACTAAGTGTGAAATTTCTTCAAATGTCTTTCTGAATCGAGAATTAAATGGATTAAGTGACATACATGTTCTATAATTGTTTGGACTTAAAATATGAAATTATAAAAACATTCGATGCATGTGTTATTGACAACCCTAGAATTATTAATGCTCCGTTTGGTATGATGGAAAAATAGAATGATAGAAAGTTGGAAAGATAAATGAAATATCATGTTTGGTAAGAAAGGAAAATAGGAACGATGGAAAAGTAGATGAATTAACTTTCTTTAACTCACTAAAATTAATCTCTCTAAAATTGGAAGGAAAATGAATGAAAAGTTAATTATTTGTGTTGAAATGTATCTTATTTGTTTATATGTTATGTATACATTAATTTCATATAAAAATATAATAATAAAATATGTATATATATAAAAATAAAAATTTTAAATTAAAAAAATATTTTTTTTTATCTTAACTAGGGGTGAAAATGTTCGACTCAACACGATGACACGATTTGAACTTGACACGAATTTGATTATAACTCGACATGAGCTTGAAAATGACCTGATACGCGAACAAGAAATATAAAAGACTTATAATTTTATGACTCAACACGAATCTGACTTGACACAACTCTATTGTCACCCCTAATCTTAGCCAGTATAAAAAAAATTAGTCATTTTTATTTTTCATCCTCCAACTAAACACAAATGAAAAAAAGTGTATCATTTCTACTTTCCATCCTTAAAAGATAAAAAAATATATCCCTTCTACTTTTCATCCTTCCTACCAAATGGAGTATACAAGATTATCACGTGACAAGATCCAAAAAAAAATTGAGAAACAATCGGTCACAACTTTAGTTTAAAAGAAAGAATAATTGTCTAAGAATTCCAAAGTCAATCAATTATCGGTAAAGGAACATCGTCAAAGAAAGTGACTATAAAAAGAGAAAAAGAAAGAAATTGAAGAACAAGTCAAACCTCCCACTAAACCTACAATCAGAACATTTAAGAATAGTGTTAAAGTTAATTTTAAGAAATAGTTAGTGTTGTAATTAAAGGTTGTTAAATCAATTTCTCTGAAAACTCATTTGGTTAAATTAACAAAAAAATGTTCTTTTATTGATTCATTGCCCTGTGTTCATTGTTTTAAAAATTCATCCATCCAAAGAAGTGTTGAAACAAGGCGTCGGAACTCATCCAGAAATAATCGCCTAAGAATTGTCTGCCGATTAAAGCATTTTTGTTCATCACAATAAATTTTGGAGCAACAACAAAAAATCCAAAAAATCCACTTCACAAATGAAACAAGAGAGGAACCTAGTAACTAACATGTCTGATGTATGTTTATGTTTAATATTCCACACCTCTTTACAAGAATAAAATCACACCTAATCACACAACGTATAAATAAATACTAACGTTTTTAATCTGTAAGACAAAAATATGGAACTACGGTCTGAGAAACAGTGGAACAAGAGAGAAAAAAAATNTAGAGCTCGAGTCGAGCCCAAGCCTGTGTATCTTCAACTATTTTACATATGAACGAGTCAAATTTTGTAAACTTGAACCAAATTTTTTAGACTCGTTTTTCTAAATAAACTTAAAAAATTGTGCAAACTCATGTTTGATCAGATTTGAGTTAAATTCATTCGGGTTTAAGTCATTTATTTGATGACTTGGGTNTTTAGAGGCACCTTCCACAACTCTTGATTGTAAATATTAGCTACTAACATTTCTTAGACCCCATATCATTCTTGAAATTGTATTTCATTTACATGCATTTCGGTAGTCAGTGAAATATAATCACGTTCTCACCTTCAATATGCTTTCAGCATACATTTTAGAGGGAAAGTAATCATCAATTAGAATAAGTTTGAAAAAAGCACACTTTAGCAAAATAGCCATAACATNGAAAAATAGAATGATAGAAAGTTGGAAGGATAAATGAAATATCATGTTTGGTAAGAAAGGAAAATAGAAACGATGAAAAAGTAGATGAATTAACTTTCTTTAACTCACTAAAATTAATCTCTCTAAAATTGGAAGGAAAATGAATGAAAAGTTAATTATTTGTGTTGAAATGTATCTTATTTGTTTATATGTTATGTATACATTAATTTCATATAAAAATATAAAAATAAAATATGTATATATATAAAAATAAAAATTTTAAATTAAAAAAATATTTTTTTTTATCTTAACTAGGGGTGAAAATGTTCGACTCAACACGATGACACGATTTGAACTTGACACGAATTTGATTATAACTCGACATGAGCTTGAAAATGACCTGATACGCGAACAAGAAATATAAAAGACTTATAATTTTATGACTCAACACGAATCTGACTTGACACAACTCTATTGTCACCCCTAATCTTAGCCAGTATAAAAAAAATTAGTCATTTTTATTTTTCATCCTCCAACTAAACACAAATGAAAAAAAGTGTATCATTTCTACTTTCCATCCTTAAAAGATAAAAAAATATATCCCTTCTACTTTTCATCCTTCCTACCAAATGGAGTATACAAGATTATCACGTGACAAGATCCAAAAAAAAATTGAGAAACAATCGGTCACAACTTTAGTTTAAAAGAAAGAATAATTGTCTAAGAATTCCAAAGTCAATCAATTATCGGTAAAGGAACATCGTCAAAGAAAGTGACTATAAAAAAAAGAAAAGAAAGAAATTGAAGAACAAGTCAAACCTCCCACTAAACTTACAATCAGAACATTTAAGAATAGTGTTAAAGTTAATTTTAAGAAATAATTAGTGTTGTAATTAAAGGTTGTTAAATCAATTTCTCTGAAAACTCATTTGGTTAAATTAACAAAAAAATGTTCTTTCATTGATTCATTACCCTGTGTTCATTGTTTTAAAAATTCATCCATCCAAAGAAGTCTTGAAACAAGGCGTCGGAACTCATCCAGAAATAATCGCCTAAGAATTGTCTGCCGATNTAATAAAATATGTATATATATAAAAATAAAAATTTTAAATTAAAAAAATATTTTTTTTATCTTAATTAGGGGTGAAAATGTTCGACTCAACACGATGACACGATTTGAGCTTGACACAAATTTGATTATAACTCGACATGAGCTTGAAAATGACCTGATACGCGAACAAGAAATATAAAAGACTTATAATTTTATGACTCAACACGAATCTGACTTGACACAACTCTATTGTCACCCCTAATCTTAGCCAGTATAAAAAAAATTAGTTATTTTTATTTTTCATCCTCCAACTAAACACAAATGAAAAAAAGTGTATCATTTCTACTTTCCATCCTTAAAAGATAAAAAAATATATCCCTTCTACTTTTCATCCTTCCTACCAAATGGAGTATACAAGATTATCACGTGACAAGATCCAAAAAAAAATTGAGAAACAATCGGTCACAACTTTAGTTTAAAAGAAAGAATAATTGTCTAAGAATTCCAAAGTCAATCAATTATCGGTAAAGGAACATCGTCAAAGAAAGTGACTATAAAAAGAGAAAAAGAAAGAAATTGAAGAACAAGTCAAACCTCCCACTAAACCTACAATCAGAACATTTAAGAATAGTGTTAAAGTTAATTTTAAGAAATAGTTAGTGTTGTAATTAAAGGTTGTTAAATCAATTTCTCTGAAAACTCATTTGGTTAAATTAACAAAAAAATGTTCTTTTATTGATTCATTGCCCTGTGTTCATTGTTTTAAAAATTCATCCATCCAAAGAAGTGTTGAAACAAGGCGTCGGAACTCATCCAGAAATAATCGCCTAAGAATTGTCTGCCGATTAAAGCATTTTTGTTCATCACAATAAATTTTGGAGCAACAACAAAAAATCCAAAAAATCCACTTCACAAATGAAACAAGAGAGGAACCTAGTAACTAACATGTCTGATGTATGTTTATGTTTAATATTCCACACCTCTTTACAAGAATAAAATCACACCTAATCACACAACGTATAAATAAATACTAACGTTTTTAATCTGTAAGACAAAAATATGGAACTACGGTCTGAGAAACAGTGGAACAAGAGAGAAAAAAAATGTCTGATAAAAGAATAGCTGCTACTGTTGCATCGACCGAAGAACAGAGTAGAAAGGTGAATCAATGCTGTTATTATCGATATTTTTCCACTTCAAAGCATAATCACTGTCGAAATAGGAAGAAACTCATCTTTCTGGTTTCCAGAAAAGGAATTGCATGAGAATTTGCAGCTGCAATCATGTGTCAGAATGTCCAGCTCTGAAGAATTAAATGGTGAATTTGTATGAAGAAAAATACGAGATGACATGAAAGCCCTTCATTTGCTTCTCTTCTTGGCTTCACTGTACAGAACAACTCCTATAACGGTGAGTGTGTATCCCAGCATTCCTGTTAGTGATACAGGATTCCTAAATATCAAAATTGAGATAACCACGGCAACAGCCCCTTTGGCATTTCCCAGGACCTGTACACATTAATAATTTTCAATCAAAAAGGAGTACAAGAAGATCCACAGTAGACATTCTTAACAAGTATAATGAACAGGAAATGCAAATGAGGGGAAAAAACCGCATAGACTACCATCATGCAGCAGTTTGCATAAATTACTAAAATGTGTTGTAGGATAATGGTAACCAATCAGCATACAAATATCATTTTAAATCGAGAAAATTTTTACTACTTCAGATAACACTAGATGTAATTGGATGTTCCACAAATCCGATGGGTATTGGAACAAGAAGCAGCGACACATTTTGGCAATAGCTGTTTCTATTCTTGTATCTTGACCAAGAAGAGGAATCTTGCAAGAGGTCAGAACCCCATGGCTGTAGCTAGAAGGATATTAAATTGAGATGACTTGAGTCAAAAACGAGGTGGCTGTTTGCTCAGTGGAGCAGGGTTGTTTCTGGTGATCCGAAGAATTTGAATACCTTTGTCACTAGATTCACTAATGGAGAGGTTCTCTTCAATGCCAAGAGAAGAGAATCTACTGTGTTCCGTTTTCCTAGTTTAAAGACCATCTCTAATAGTTTCTGCATATGGCATGCCTATCTTTTCCGATCCCAAAACTGAAACCAACAAAACCCTTTATGCAATCCATAAATCTTAATAATATTCATCAATTCTCAATCCCTAAGATTTGCGTCATCAAAAACTTTTGAGCCCCCCATTATTGGCGTCAGAATGATCCTCTATCTTAAGGCATCCAGCATCAACAAGTGAAAGCCAAAGCCACAATCTCCGACTTAAGGTCCTATCGTGACCATGATGATGTTACAACCAATTTGCCTACCAAAAAAACTACCATGATCTGGTACATACTTCTTCCCCCGGATTCCTGGTGTGCCAATTAACAAACACTTATCCAGGACATCCTTTAGAGGCACCTTCCACAACTCTTGATTGTAAATATTAGCTACTAACATTTCTTAGACCCCATATCATTCTTGAAATTGTATTTCATTTACATGCATTTCGGTAGTCAGTGAAATATAATCACGTTCTCACCTTCAATATGCTTTCAGCATACATTTTAGAGGGAAAGTAATCATCAATTAGAATAAGTTTGAAAAAAGCACACTTTAGCAAAATAGCCATAACATTTTAAAAATTGCTATTTTGCTAGATATTAAAACATTTTACATAATAGTATACATAATCAACCACCATCACTGAAACTATATGGATCTTCCATCATAATTATCAACACTATTACTAGTTGAAAGGAACAACACATATAAAAATAACAAAACCATCAATTTGGAAAGGACAGTAATAAACATCTTTTCTTAATAGCAAGGGGAATGCAACATGAGAACCTCCCAGGAATTACACTTTGGTGACAACTATACTGTAATACCCCAAATCAGAATAAGTTAAAGAAATACATAACATAGTTTCAATTTGGGGTTAGAGTGCAAATACACAAAATTATTAGGGGAAAGTATCATTAGATAAAAACTTTAGACGCTACACCACAGACCCTTTTCATATATATAAAGATATGATAATAAACTAAATTAAGGGGCATTAATTAAGGGACAATTACTGGTCTTTAGGCTGTTACCATAGATAAACATAAACACACCAAAATGTGATAGTGGTGAGAGAGAGACAAACAGAAGAGAGAAAAGGGGCTGCTAGGGTTTGAGAGAGAGAAAGAGAAAGAGAGAGGAAACAACAATGGCAAAAAAAAAAAAAAGAAGAAGAAGAAGAAGGCCTAATTAATGAGGTATGTTTTCATACCTATTCAATTCAATTAACAAGAGGTCAAATGTTAGTGTTTGAGATTGTATTCCTAGTGGGCATTGAAAGGAGTGTAGGGAGTAATCTGTGATTAAGTCTATAGACTCTCTACCCAAGGTAGTGTTTGATACTATATATATGGGTACGTATAGACCATGATATAGTGATATATGTTTCCATAAGAATATATATATATATACATTAATGGGTACGAAAATAATATACATAATATTTGCATGCGAGNTGTATAGACCATGATATAGTGATATATGTTTCCATAAGAATATATATATATACATTAATGGGTACGAAAATAATATACATAATATTTGCATGCGAGTGTTCATATGATCGAGTGGGTTAGTATGTTTGGCACGTGAGTAAGTTGGTGTTCAAGTGATCTGTGACTCTGACTATAATATCCATAAGTGTGAGATATTGGGCAGCAAATCGTTTTAGAGTCCAGTGTACAAGGTTGCTTCCTAGATGTTGGGTAAGAATTAGAAAGGTGAAANGGTAACCAATCAGCATACAAATATCATTTTAAATCGAGAAAATTTTTACTACTTCAGATAACACTAGATGTAATTGGATGTTCCACAAATCCGATGGGTATTGGAACAAGAAGCAGCGACACATTTTGGCAATAGCTGTTTCTATTCTTGTATCTTGACCAAGAAGAGGAATCTTGCAAGAGGTCAGAACCCCATGGCTGTAGCTAGAAGGATATTAAATTGAGATGACTTGAGTCAAAAACGAGGTGGCTGTTTGCTCAGTGGAGCAGGGTTGTTTCTGGTGATCCGAAGAATTTGAATACCTTTGTCACTAGATTCACTAATGGAGAGGTTCTCTTCAATGCCAAGAGAAGAGAATCTACTGTGTTCCGTTTTCCTAGTTTAAAGACCATCTCTAATAGTTTCTGCATATGGCATGCCTATCTTTTCCGATCCCAAAACTGAAACCAACAAAACCCTTTATGCAATCCATAAATCTTAATAATATTCATCAATTCTCAATCCCTAAGATTTGCGTCATCAAAAACTTTTGAGCCCCCCATTATTGGCGTCAGAATGATCCTCTATCTTAAGGCATCCAGCATCAACAAGTGAAAGCCAAAGCCACAATCTCCGACTTAAGGTCCTATCGTGACCATGATGATGTTACAACCAATTTGCCTACCAAAAAAACTACCATGATCTGGTACATACTTCTTCCCCCGGATTCCTGGTGTGCCAATTAACAAACACTTATCCAGGACATCCTTTAGAGGCACCTTCCACAACTCTTGATTGTAAATATTAGCTACTAACATTTCTTAGACCCCATATCATTCTTGAAATTGTATTTCATTTACATGCATTTCGGTAGTCAGTGAAATATAATCACGTTCTCACCTTCAATATGCTTTCAGCATACATTTTAGAGGGAAAGTAATCATCAATTAGAATAAGTTTGAAAAAAGCACACTTTAGCAAAATAGCCATAACATTTTAAAAATTGCTATTTTGCTAGATATTAAAACATTTTACATAATAGTATACATAATCAACCACCATCACTGAAACTATATGGATCTTCCATCATAATTATCAACACTATTACTAGTTGAAAGGAACAACACATATAAAAATAACAAAACCATCAATTTGGAAAGGACAGTAATAAACATCTTTTCTTAATAGCAAGGGGAATGCAACATGAGAACCTCCCAGGAATTACACTTTGGTGACAACTATACTGTAATACCCCAAATCAGAATAAGTTAAAGAAATACATAACATAGTTTCAATTTGGGGTTAGAGTGCAAATACACAAAATTATTAGGGGAAAGTATCATTAGATAAAAACTTTAGACGCCACACCACAGACCCTTTTCATATATATAAAGATATGATAATAAACTAAATTAAGGGGCATTAATTAAGGGACAATTACTGGTCTTTAGGCTGTTACCATAGATAAACATAAACACACCAAAATGTGATAGTGGTGAGAGAGAGACAAACAGAAGAGAGAAAAGGGGCTGCTAGGGTTTGAGAGAGAGAAAGAGAAAGAGAGAGGAAACAACAATGGCAAAAAAAAAAAAAAAAAAAAGAAGAAGAAGGCCTAATTAATGAGGTATGTTTTCATACCTATTCAATTCAATTAACAAGAGGTCAAATGTTAGTGTTTGAGATTGTATTCCTAGTGGGCATTGAAAGGAGTGTAGGGAGTAATCTGTGATTAAGTCTATAGACTCTCTACCCAAGGTAGTGTTTGATACTATATATATGGGTACGTATAGACCATGATATAGTGATATATGTTTCCATAAGAATATATATATATATACATTAATGGGTACGAAAATAATATACATAATATTTGCATGCGAGTGTTCATATGATCGAGTGGGTTAGTATGTTTGGCACGTGAGTAAGTTGGTGTTCAAGTGATCTGTGACTCTGACTATAATATCCATAAGTGTGAGATATTGGGCAGCAAATCGTTTTAGAGTCCAGTGTACAAGGTTGCTTCCTAGATGTTGGGTAAGAATTAGAAAGGTGAAAATATGTCATAATAATGTATATATATATTCTTACAAGAATTTATATGCGTGTATTCCAAAAAAACGAAAAGCAAAGAAAACAGAGGACTGAGGATTAGAGATTTATTGTGCATCTTGCCTTGTAGCTAAGGTATGATATTCAATTTTAGGACTGGTTTGAGGAAGCTAACAGAGAAATTTGGGAGAGTGACTAATTGGTATTTCAGAAGCTTGTAAGGTAAGTAATTTTCTACCTCCTCTAGTGTTTTCCTACTAATTGAATATATTTTTGTTTAAATGTATGGTGGTGCATGTTTTTGATTGGAAACATGAACTAATTTTGATATCATTGCACCTTATTTTATTATTTCATGGGATATGCAAAATTTGGACTTGGCATGTGAATTGACACATGCAAAGGTATAAATCTTTCAAGTAAGTTTTGATTTCTATTCTAATAGCATGACATATGGTTTACAACCAATGGGGGAGATACATTGTTGGTAAGGATCTTTTGACTTGGAACTGGATCTCATAGGTTAATGTGACATGTGGACCAGGGGGCCAACGGGGTAGATAAATTGAGCACTACCAAGCTGGTCATGGGTGAATGTGGCCATGATTGTTTTTTATGAACTGTTTGTGACCTCATCTCACATGGGATAAAGAACGTTGAGTGATGATTTGATTATTGGATCGTAGGGTGTTAGATGTTATTGAAACTATGAAATGTTTGAGATTTAATATCTTTTTTATGAATTGTTTATGAAAGTTTCAAACTATTATTTTGATATGCATGCCGTGTCCAACCGGTAGAGATGGACAATTATTTACAGGCTGTCGAACTCACCCAATCTTAACATTTTTCAGATTTTAGAAAACAAAGACGATTGAATTCCTGGGGACAAGCTCGAGAACAGGGTTTGTGAGGTTAAGTTGTATATATTTATAGACGATTTAAAAGTAAAAAATTTGCATAGTTAAGTTGTATTTGAATTTAAGGGTATAGATTATTTCAAAAATGAAGATTTAATATTTGGGATTATTTAGCATGCTCTGTTAGCTACCATAACCTATATATCATTGGTCAAGTATTATAAACAGAGATTTATTCATGGGTTGGATGCCTAACATGTCCTTGGGACTGAGTTAGTCCAAGGGCATGCAGCGTTTGTCTCGCCACTCGGCCAACACTTTTGGTCTTGGGGCGTGAGATATAAGACCATATAATGTGCTACGGTAGGNCATTGGTCAAGTATTATAAACAGAGATTTATTCATGGGTTGGATGCCTAACATGTCCTTGAGACTGAGTTAGTCCAAGGGCATGCAGCGTTTGTCTCGCCACTCGGCCAACACTTTTGGTCTTGGGGCGTGAGATATAAGACCATATAATGTGCTACGGTAGGGCATACATGTTCATTATTAGTTCAGCATATGCAGAAGTCCATCCCATCACCAAAGGTGAAAAATCAAATAAAGACCTTGTGTAAGAATCACATTCCAACCAAGATGTCAGAAAACCCTCTGTTCTCTATAGTAAATCACCAAAACAAGTAGATTGAACATNGTCCCATCACCAAAGGTGAAAAAATCAAATAAAGACCTTGTGTAAGAATCACATTCCAACCAACATGTCAGAAAACCCTCTGTTCTCTATAGTAAATCACCAAAACAAGTAGATTGAACATGAATAAAAACTTGGTGAGAAACAATTATGTACTAGAACATAGAGGCATACCTGCAGAGTTAAAGCGCTAGTGTGTTTAGTGACCAAGAAATTGGTCAAGTTCACGAAGTATGCTAGAGCAGAATTGAAGAGCAGATACCAGATAATTTTGACATCGCTTCTTGCAAGAGCTATCGTGATCCCGACCACATTTTCCTCCATCAACAGTGTTGCCGGAAGTAAGAATAAAACAGCTATTGGTGCCATGTACAGCAGAAGGTTCATAGAGTTCAGCTTTTCCCTGTGAGAATTAAAATAAGTAATAATGCAATAGGAAATGCATAAGAATTCAGTAATAATGCAATAGGAAATGCATAAGAATTTGATACCCTTCTGCAGACAGCAAAATCCCTTGAAGCACCGACTTTAATGCCCTTGCAGCTGTAGCACCGACACACATTACAAATCCAAATAGATGAAAACTTGGTTCACCCTACAGCCACATAATAGAAGTAAATAAGCCAATGTCAGTAGAAAAGCCTATCTTGGTCCCGAAGCTAGCTTATGCAATGTAAACTCAGTTTCTCCCAATTCTTTCTTGACAAAACCAAACCATCACCAATTGTTTTCTAATCTTATAAAGTACTACTTTGGTTTGATTGCATGTGGACAATTGGTTACATATTCCGTATTCATTCATTGCTCAAGACAACTAATGAACATGCAATACCTTGATTAGCAGGCTTTTTCTGAACAAAGCAAACTAATCAACTTCTGTGTGTGTGTGTGTGTTACCAAAAATAAAAGATTATCATGTTAAGGAATCAATTACTGTAACACACTTGTAAAAGGATTCATGGATAGATCTCTTGGTTGTCAGCCATGTACCCAACCCATAAAGTAGAACAACCTTTATGGATCTCTATCTAAGGCTCTGNTGTAACACACTTGTAAAAGGATTCATGGATAGATCTCTTGGTTGTCAGCCATGTACCCAACCCATAAAGTAGAACAACCTTTATGGATCTCTATCTAAGGCTCTGAAAGAGAAGGTGATGCCTTAGAAACTAGTGTCAAATGTATATTTAAACATGGTGAATAAAATGCATAATGGAGCAGTAAGCTTCTAATTGTCCATATAGTTATAGGGGAGTTCCAAGGATGCAATCATAATCAGTTTCTGGAAAAAAGAAAAGTGAGAAACCAATGCTATAAATCCAATCAGTTGCTTAATGAATTTTACTCGGGCTATCAATATGTGAAACACTCATTACAATTAGCCTAAAATTTTGAGATTTCTCGACAAGTTATAGCCTTATCCTTTTCTCAGCAATAACATATACACGAGAATCACCGAATATCAATCCTCCAAATTTCCTTATACCCAAGAAAGATCATGGCTTCTAAAAACAAATATGCCAAAAAATAAAAAATAATAGTCTTCTAATTAACATCAATTTCTAGCCAGCTATTTGTCGAATTCTCAATAACAAGAACAAAAATTAGACTTGCTGATAAAATTAGTTGCGTTTACCCAGGATTCAACCCATCTCAATCTGTACCGGGAACAACTGAAGAAGGTATAAAATTAAATTAAAACCAAAGAAAAGAAATTACCCCACTAGCAATGATGACCCCAGTGACCACAGGAATGAGAGTGGCATACGTTAACCAAGCCTCCCTCTTAACCGTAATCAAATAGGCAAACACAGCCGTGAAAAACGGCGTCGTAGCTCCGACTGCCTGATTAAACGACACCGGAAGATATCTCAACGACACATTCCCACAAACCACCGAACCACAGAACACAAGACTCAGAGCCGAGATCTTCATGAACTGCACACGCGACCGTATAGTTTGTAAAGGCACCATTTTCATCCACACAATGGCAATGTAGCTCAACAGAGAACACGCAGTCATGTGACACATGGTTAGGAAAATTGGGTACTTGAACCCATAGTTGCTAAGCAAGTACTTGTTGAGCAATAAAACTCCGATGTTCGATGTGTACCATGCCGACACGAGCCCGATCGTGAACCACTGGCCCGTGCCCTTCATAGATTCAGACTTCAAATTACAAAAATTCTGGGTTTTATATATGTTCCAGAACTACAGGGTTTTAGGGGGGTTGACACGAGGGATAGATCTAGAAATGGAGAGGTATTAGAGAGAGAGTGGTGGAGGTTTTAGAGAGGGAAAGTTGTGTGGATCTGAGGGGGGAATTTGGGAGAGACTGTGTGAACTTGGAGGGTGAGTCCGTAGGGGTTTTGCGGGTATACATAAACTAGAGAGCGAAAGCTCCAAGTCGGAGGTGAAGGTCGTATCAACGTAACGGTAGGAGACGAACGCGAGCGAGAGAGAGAGAGAGAGAGGGGTTACGGCGAAGGCAACTGTAGCCGTGCTTTGTGGGAGAATGGGAATGTACCTTTCATGTGACAGTAGGGTGAGTCAGCACGTATTAATTCTTGGGTTATTTTACCCAATTTTTTAATCTAATTTGTAAATTTAATTTATTATTATCATTTTTCATTCAGTACTAGGACACACATTTAACAATGGGAGTGCATTAAATTATCAAATTATATACCAATAATATAATAGTATTTTCTTTTTTCAAACTGAATTTTTTTTAAATAATCCTAATCAAGTTACTTTCATTCATCAACCTAATTTTAATCATCAATTATATCCGTTACATTAATTTAGAATTTAGGTTGTAGTGATGAGTATAAGAAATTTGTCATTAGAATTGTTTATGATTAATGTTATATTAATTGAGAAAAATAAAAATTAAATTGAAAATAATTTTTTTTGTTGATGTGGCATTATCCATTGGTTTATCATATTTAATGTAACAGTGGTCTAATGGTTAAATTTGTCATCTTTCAAACAAAAAGTTTCAAATTCGGCCGCTTTTTATAATGGAGAAAGTTATGAATTACATGATTAGGTGGGTATGAATTTTAATAAAACCCTTTTAATGATTTGTTTATTTATTAATGAATGGTTATACCATTTAGCGTTGCAGATGTGGTGTAACAATTATACACCAATATTCTTTTTTCCTTACAATAATCATTATTTTTCACGAGACATGTATTTAAACTAAATCGAATTATGGTGACAAATATTAAAATTTAAGAAAATAATCGATACAAGCTTAAACACTATATAACCGAAAAAAAATCATATTCAATAAAGAAAAGGATTTTGAATAGTTTTTTTTTTTTTTGATCAAAGGATTTTGAATAGTTGACATGCCAACTTAACCAAATTGTATTTATTTTTGTGGGGGCTTTTTTTTATGCCCGGGGGGGGGGGGGGGGGGGG